CACCACTTCATTCATCTCTATCTGGATAAATGCCTAAAATAGAGAAAATACAGCTAAAAATTTAAGTGTAATAAAATTATTTAAGTAGTGGCCTCTGATCTTATTCTCATCTCCAATAGTTATTACTAAATAAAGCTCTTTCCAAAAGTAATGAGATTAGTAAACATCAGAAGTCTCCCTATTACTTCTCTATGAAAATAACTATATGCATGTGCATACACAAGTATGTGCACATTTATGTAATATATACACACATAAATATTTTAAAACCCAACCACTATCACAAAAAATCTAATACTTCAATTAAAAAGTTGCATACATTTTTGAAAAAAGTACTAAAGATCAACAGTAACATCAATTTAATGGTCTAAATATTTTGTGAGCAAACAGTAGTGGACAAGTGGTATTTTCCAAGATTCTCACGCAGGCAATATCTTATCTGATATGGTTTAATTTACTTTCCCCAATTCCTAGCAAATTAACTCAACAAAACATGAACCCAGAAGGGCTTCAGTATGCAGGAATTTTTGCCTTCTATTTTTGTGACCAGTACTTTTATCAAGCTGAATGTACATTATCCTATTTTTCTTCCTATCACTTGTTTCTGTTCTGTATTTCCAATAAAACTTGATTTTTTTCTCTTGTTTATCAGCATCAGCTTCAACAATCTGCTCTTCCTGCAATGTGAACATACTTTAACTGTTGAGTCTCAGAGCAGACTAAGGGCATGTCTAGTTCAGAGTATATTTGTAGTTGTAAATCCATTTTGCACACACACTGCATTGCCACAATAAACATTATTAAGACCCTGCCTTACAAGTAATATTATGCAAGCATCACAGAGGCTAAGATACAAAAAACATAAGCTAGATCTTGTAGGACACTTCAAAATCTATTTAAAGTCCTATCAGGAGAACAGCAGTGGAGGGTAGCAATAGTATACTTAGTTCTTGATTCTGCGTGAGTGCATTATGCAAGTTGTAGACTAGCTTGTTTGGGTAAAAAACCACAACTGCCAAAGCACCGTTGTCAGGGAGTATATAGTCAACTGCACACAATGCTTACAAGTGAACTTTGCTCTACCTACAGCTACTTAAACTTGTTCCTGCCTTCTGTAGAAGTTCGCTTACAGTTAAATCAATATATACTTTAAATAGCTCTTTTCCTTGATCTGATTTATCCATCCCACCATTACCACCGTTACGCTTGGCAACTTTGACAACTCTCACTACAAAACTGCTGATTGGTCAACTTTTAGAAATACAGTACAGTCCAATTTTGTTTGAAACTTGCAACTGTCATCCATCCCAAACCCCCATTATTTGAATTATTCAATCACTCCTTAATTTGCATACATGAGAAGAAGAAAATAAAGCAGAAGGGGGGAGGGGGGAAAGCAGCTATCTTCCCTGTTCTTACTCTACACTGACAATAGACAGCACTGCCTATTCGTACCTTAACAGCCTGGGTAGTTTTGATGGGTTTTTTACATAACAAAATTACACTAAAAGATGCTAAAACAAAACAAAACCAAAAAAACCACCCAAAATAAGTTTTCGCTCCAGTACTTTACAGTTATCTGGCTATATACTTGAAGTCTAGTAAGCAGGTAGGAAAAAATACAGTATAAAGAATACAGATTTTTTTTTTTTTTAAATGTTGACTGTTAATATTTGGGTAAGATCATTCACTTGTTTTTATGCAAATATTAAAAGCACTCTGCTAGTCACTTTCACACAACTTACCATGACATATTAAGTTACAGATACACATATACTCCTTAGCAATCTGGTTTTGAATGCACTTTGAGTTGTTAGATTTAATCTTTGAATCCTTTGTTAACTCTCTGCCCTCAGAAAGTCTTATATTTCTATATGAAGTTATTTCTAATGCTGCCAGAAATGAGAAGGCATAAAATCTCTTTATAGGCTTATACTCAATCATATATGAAGGACCCTCCCCAAATGGTTTGCCTTTCTCAGCAGTATCTTTTTCCATAGAGAGAATTAACTTTAGAAAACGCATCTGTAATATTGAGATAAACTTGTAAGTGACTTTTCAGTGACTTCTCCTCCACATATCTTTTGTCATGAAAATCACTTCATTCTTTATATGCAGAATTTGAACAAATTTTTTTTAGAAATGCTTTTCCTTACAGCACATGCCAACTTAAAAATCACCTCCAAATGTAGCTCCCTTCTACTTTTTCATTTCTGTAGCGGATTTCAAAATGAGTGAAATTCACAACTATTTCATGAACCATTGCCCAATAAACCTTAGTGACTGCTGTCACAAGGCTTATACCACTGATCTAAGGATCAGAGAGCATCAATGAAGCTGGTCACACAAAACAAACAAACAAACAAACCCCTTAGCACTCTACCTCAATCTTTATTTCACTAGGGGTGGGGGGGGGAGTCCTCACACAGCAATAGTCAGGATTAGATAAGCTCCGCTTATTATGTAGCTGATGATGGGATTTTTTTTTTTTTAATATTATCAGAAGTTAATACTTCTTTCAATCTGGTTGATTAATTTATAACAGAAATTGATTAAGCCAGCACACAACTCAGAAAGACCTACCAGACTCCAAAAAATAACAAGAACAAAAGCAGTTTTCCACTTCATATTTCCACTGAAAAGCAAAGATGGGGCAGAGTTTGCGAGTGTTTGCAGGGTTACTCTGACTCTACAACTCTGAATGCATCTTCAAAGGATGGAAAAAGCGATAGTAAAGATCTACTCTTGTCAACAGATGTTTATATTACACATAAATTTGACTACAGATAGAAATACAGAACATTGAGAAGAGAATGGCATTCAGAAGGAAGTGAATGACATCCTGTTATGTAGCAGTTACAAAAGCAAAAACAATGAGAAAAGGAGATGAGCACCATGCGGAGCATATAACGGAGTAGATAAAAATCATGTAAATAAGCTTGGTGTGTTTTGACTACAATAGAAAAATATTACAGGAAAAGAATTATACTAAATATACAAGAAGTGGCATACTGTGCGTTTTATTTAGTATGTCCAAGAGTGTTAAATAAACAATTATCACCATGATTATTACCATACTAGCTGATGCTTTGGAGCTATAAAACAATATTGCAAAGACAGTCAGAAAAACCTTTGTGTGTGCCGCAGCTGAAAGTTTCGATTTAAAAGGAGAAAACACTTTCTGTTCACTCAAAGAGTGAACAAGCATATAGACTATAATAATAATAAACATCTAAGAATCATTCTATGATAGTCCAGTCAAAAAAATACAACCTTATGCCTTCAAAGTATACTCCAACACATTTTCTTTGTTTTTATGAGAATTTAATAGGATCACAATAATTTATACCATTTTCACAATACTTTTCAATGGCACTGCCCTTGGCATCAGTCTCCTAGTCAATTCAGGCGACTTCGCTCTTAGATATGATACCAAACTATCATCATCTTTATTGTATATAAACCTTTTCCAATGCAAGTAATGAAACCTAAAAAAGTACCCTTTCATTAAATGTACTTTTTGATGTTTCATTCTTTACTTTTCTAACGTTAGATGTTTGGTGCTTAAAAAAAACCCTTACCCATAAGTATACAGTTTTAAAAAGTATGTACCATTATATACAGTACTTTAACTATACTTGCAAGAGTGGAGATTCCTGAAGTCATTGCAGTAATTGAATATTACTGTTACTTATTTTCCTTAAAGAACCAAAGATAAAAGCATAAATTCTTCTAAATGTAAGCATAAATTCTAAGCATAAATTCTAATTGCTGCCTAAAAAAAGTGAATCTAACCAGAGTACCAAAAATATTTTATTTGGAAAATTCTGTCTTTGGAATAGGTCAGGTCTTATTATATATTTATTCTATCTCAAAAAAATGCTTAGAGCAACAGAGCACGCACACTAACATATGGAACTGACAGCCTCTGCATTGTACAAATTATTTTGCAGGCCTGCAACCAAAAACTTGCACTTCAGATACAGGAGCAAGTTGCATCAACTAATTTGTCACAGGTATCTATTCGAAAGGTCTTAGATGACAGTAACGGCACAGTAACCGGAGTTTGTCAAAGACACGAGGACTACCTAAAGAGCCACAGTTTACCATGGACTAGCTGACATAAAATAGCTTGTTAACTCTGCTAACATATCTGAAATCCAAAATTATTCTACATGGAAGGCTTCCATTCTGTTTATTGATCATGTTACAGAGAAAGTTTTGTACTAATGCTTTGCTGAGCTTTTTTGTTTGCAGCATGCACACTTTCATATATTTTTTATACATAAAACAAAGTAGCTAAACATCCTCTGCTAACATTACCAGTCATCATATACGATGTGCTGTGTTGGTAAGACTATAATACTTTTACCTGAGGAATACTTAAAGCCCGGACAAGACAGAGCAAACAAGTCAAATAACGGTAATTCGGAACTAAATTCAACTACTGTTTCCCAGTTGAGTGCAAGGAACAGTTTCTCTCTTATTCAAATAAAACCTTTCAGAACTGGAGGTGCCGTCTCCCAAACATATGCCGTCACTCTTTCAAAACACACAGATCTAGCCCATCAAAACTAACATTTAAATACTAAAGACTATAAACGTCGTTTTCTTTTGATTTCTTTTTTCTTTTCTCTTTTTGTTCAAATGAAACACAGTTCCAATGAAAAACTGGCTTCCTCCTCCACATAAAAGCCACATACATTCATTTCCCTCATACTGACAAGAACATGAGCAATAGTATGATAAAAATCAATCCAAATACCTTGTAAGCGCACTTGCTTTGGTATGTCCCTTAAACACAAAAGCCTTTTGGTAATGTTCCGTTCTCCTCCACTTCCAAGTATGTATTAAAGTTAAAAAAAATACAAAAATCAAGATTATACTACTCCACTGAAGAATGCTACTTTTACCTTTGTTCCTCTGTCTTAAAATTTTGCTGTTCACAATAAACACTTTAAAGAGCCAAATGGAGCATAGAAAGGCTTGACAGACACTACCTTGAAATGTAGGAAGGTGCATCTACGATGTTCATACCACTCAGCATAAGATGAAAGGCTCCTGAAAAACTGCAAAAGATTTCCATGTTCTTCAGTGCTGCAGAACAAAAATATCTTTTATCCTAAACAATATTAAGCAGAAGTATCAATTCTAAAGCCCAAAAGTTGCAATTTTCCCCTACAGACTCTGTAATTAATATTATTCAATTTCTAAGTCAGAATTTACAAAAAAAAAAAAAAAACTGACCAAAAAAAAAGCTGTAGATATTGAAATAACTGAAGAATTCCTCAGGAAAAACAAGCAGTAATAAAATTAGCCCTATATGTAACACGAAATAACTCAGTAAATTCAAACAGTCCTCCTGTAAAATGTTATTTGGACTTTATGGTTTTTCCTCCAATACTCTTATTTTGCAAATTCCAAGGTATTATATAATAAAACTTTAACCTGCAAAACTGGTAAGATTTTCCAAACTACATCACTATATATCACGTATTCCTGTGTTTTTTGTTGTACTCAGCCAAATCTTTGATTGACATTTATTGTCTACCTCTGCCTGCACTACATTCAACTTTGCAAGACTGACCTTGAAACTGCAGTAAGCAAGATAGTCTGTTCACTAAATCATACATGGTATGTTAGATTTAAAATAAATCTTTTGGCATACAACTAAATCTTGATTTATCTGCCATTATGGAAGACAGTCATATTCTTGATAACAGAGGGATAAGAGGCACACAATTCTGTGACTGAGAAGCCTGTATATATGTGTTAATCAAAGGAAGAATATGAGGCAGAACTGTATCCAAAAACAGATTAGAGAATGCAAGTGGGGAGCTGGTTTGGGGGGTTTTCTCTTTAAGGAAAAGGAACAAAAATCTCTATTCTTCAAAATCCTAATAATGTATTAGATTGTAAATGAGATCAGGACAGAGGACAGACAGAAGAGAACGTAGGAGGATAGAATTTGCCAAATAACAAACCATCCATCCAGCATTGCAGATGGAAGGGAGCAGGAACACTTGCAAAGGATGAGCAGCGTTGACTGAAGACTTGTGCCTAAGAACTCAAAAAATCCACTAAAGCCAAGAAAACAACTAAGAGAATTTGAGTGTCAGACACCCAAAGCGACAAGATTCTTCAATCATAAGGGTGACAAATCCTTATGTCATTGTTGATATGAAGCCACAGTCAAATGGAACAGATCAGTAGCTATTGTCAAAAGATACCTGACAAAACACTGCTTTGAAAATATAAAGATTTATTTCAGTTACTAACACAGGACTTTACAGATTTACATAATCTGCCTGGAAAGATCTTGAAGATATCTGACATTTATTCTGGATCATTTCAGAAAGTTACAGAGGAGCTGAACCCAGATACAGACATTGCACAGGTAAATTTGACTTTTAAAGTCTTTCCTGTTTCAGATTAGCAATTCTTTTTTGGATTTTCAGAACACCTGAGAGCAGAAACTTAAAGCTATTAGCAGAACGGTTGCAAAAGTGTATTACCAAGTCATTTCGGCAATTCAAGAGAAAATTTTGTCTCAGATCCAAATTCGCTTGTTATACAAGAATGGCAACCCCAACATATTACATAAGCATAAACTGGGAAAAATATGTGAACTTCATTCAGATATTGAAAATGTAAAAGAAAAGCCAAACATGTTTTATGCTAGCCTCGAAAGAACAGCATCATTAAAGGAAGTTACCAAAGCTAGCCACAACTGCCAACAAAAGCAGGCCAAGAGAGAAAAAAATGCTGCCAGCACAGTAAAAACTGAGTCCCTGAAACGAAGGAGACAGATGCTGATTTCCAATAGCTGACTAGCTCTGTGTTCTGAACAGCTTTTTTAACGGTAACTAATAATTTGGCATATAAAAATCTACCCATAGAACAGTAAAAATACGGACATAGTAATGACTGCCCACATCTCACCGTCTAGTGAACGTGATTCTAAACATACTGCAGTACGTCTTTAAAAAATCTACATATGTGAAAGGAGGCAATATCAAATTTTGTCACAAAGCTACATACTTTAAAAAAAAAGCTTAAAAAAAAAAACTTCGTGATTTTGATGAATTATCCAGTTTTATATAGTTTAAAAGAAGATTAAAACCAGGGGTAAGGAGAGGTATCTAAGCAACTGTCAGTTTTAACTGTTAGTCACCTACTGTTTTAGCATTGTTTTAGTTTATTTTTCTTTTCTCCTCTCTGACTCCTCTTTAGGCAATATAGCAGATGGAGATTTTTACGGCTAGATCACCCAGAGAGAGGGATAATTTTGGCCAACAAGTTCAGAGAATCAGTTTCAAATGTAAAAGGCAATGTGCAAAAGGCATAGGCATATTCCTGAGAAGAGGAGACTACAGCGAGTATCAAAGCTGCTATTGGCAGACTAGAAGTTGATGCAAAAATGAAACATAAAAACACAGCTTTAAGAAAAAAAGGCAAGAAAAAAAAATTGGCATCGGGTAATTGGATCAAGTGGAACAGCTATATCTGGTGTGAAGGAGAACTGAGAAACAAATTACATTAACATAGGCAAAAGATTATTTTGAATTGTATTGCAGAATATAAACATCAATTTACGCAGAGAACTCTGTTTCAAAATAGGTAATAATTTTTGAAATAAGAGATATGATGTATGGGACTGGTTATACCCGAGCATATAGGTGTCTCATGTACAGATTCAAAGCTGGCTAAGTTTAAGATAGCAAACTGGATTCAGTACTTAGGGGGCAGGGGGGAGGGATCTGTTTTGGTGTGGATAGGCATATGTAACATAAATGCTGTTCTGCGTTGCTAGGGGAGCAAAGGAAATATCTGTGGTAAAAATACTTAAACTTCTCACAGACCAACAATACTGGGTCTAGATTAGATAAAATCCTAATTAGCCAAAATTAGCCTCATTCCTCAGCAGTACTATTATTGCTTTTAAATGCTGTAGCCAACCACCATAAATCCTAGAACGCCAAAAATACTTCTAGAACAAAATAACTATGCACTATGAAAGCGTATGTTAAAACTTAAGCCTCTTTAGCCTGTTTTTGGAAAAAATTAAACATTACAAAATGTCACTAGAGCGTTCAAAAAAAAAAAAAAAATCTACGAGGAGTGGAAAATACTGATCTCCAAAGCTAACATGCATGTTACAGAGAAGTAATCCAAAAACAGCAAAAAGTATTTTGTGACAGAAAGGAACTATGTATCAGGTTAAATCACATGCTCCTACCCAAATACCATTTCAGTTTTACAAAGTATCATCATCAACACAATACAAAAGTATATAAAAAAACCTTAACTACTGTAAAAGGAATAAGCTCCTTTTGTTATTTTAAGAGGGGAAATCTATTTTAACTCTAAGCAGTAAGATTTCTTGCACTAGGACATAAAACCAAGGAATGATTCTTACAGCTGTGCATGTTTCCTTCACTTCCAAGATACTTAATCCATGGAATGTTTAATATAAAGTAGACATTTTACAAATCCTTTACTTTGACAGTTAAATTTTAATTAGTAAAAAGTAGGAGCAGTTCTCACACTGTCCAAAAACCCCTTCTCTTTGATTACATGATCATGCAATAGTTAACTATCCCAATTAAGTAGTGGGAAATCAAGTCTAAAAGAAAGACTACCAACAGGATTTTTACAGATATCGCAGTCCTCAACGCTAGAAGTATATACCACAATTGATAACGGGTGCCAAGGGGGCTCAAGTAAAGTTCAAAAACAGAAGAACGAATATTGTAATGCCATTTGCATACACATTTTATTGCGTACGTTTAAAGAACTGTAGGTCTTTTTAAATTATATATTGCAGCAGTACCTGGTTGAAAATAAACAAAACTGCTGAATTTTGCTTCCTTTAAAAATGTGTTATTTCAAGTGCTCTAACATTTCTATTTTCTTCCAAAGCAGAACGGGCTTGGGAATTACAACTGCCTGCCAAGTTTGGAACTCTCCTGCTATTAAAGACCCCCTTTTTTTCATGCATTATGACAAATGAAGCCAAAAAATTAGAATGCTGAAGAGAAAAAAAAAATTCGGGCCACCAGATAGAACAGAGTAAGACAATGGATTTGGCAAGACTAGGCCAAGGACGCAAAAGAAAACTTGCAGGGAATTGACAGAAGGAAACAGAAACTGATGGGGTCAAAAGAACATGGAGTCTGAAAAGAAAGAACAATACAGAGCGAAAGCAGATTCAGTTAGCCAAGGAACGGAGAGAGAGGTAGGGAAGAGGTGGGAACCAAGATTCTGAGAGCAGCTGGTGGAGTGAAGAATAAAGGACTAATTCGGCAAAGACTGAAAGAGGGGACTGTGACTGTGACTTAAAGCAAGAAACTGGAACTAGCTGAACAAGGGGACTGAGAAAAGAAGTCATAAAGAGAGATTTTACAATCAGATTGAACCAATCTAATGGTGGTTGCTGTCAAAACAGACACTGCCAACATCATCCCCACTCTGCCACGTACTTTCTGACTTAGAACAGCACTAAGTATCATGAAGCTGCAGGACATATTAAATCAGTAAGTCATCCAACAGAGTGGACATATTTGGTGGGGGGTGAGGGGAAGAGGGGGTTGTCAAATTATTTTTTCAACCAAATGACTACGCTGATCCTACCAGCCATGTGGCTTCCCAAGTACATACACTAACGCAAGGAATAACAGATGGAAGCTGCAAATATTTGCTAAGGAGAGAATAGAAATGCTTTCTTTAGTGACAGCAAGGCCTTAACTCGTCTTATGCCATTTGTGAAAATGTACACTTACTAAAGAATACTGTTATAACATGGAAAAGGTCCAGGATAGTGATGAGACAGGCACATGAGTGCTCAAGCTAGGGTGAAATCAAGCTGCCACTACTTCAAGGCATTCCTTGCCAGTATTACTATTAAGTTCCAACACACTTCTGTTGGAAAATAGTTGTGAAAACACAGGATCATCTCCTCTTCTAAATCCTGTTTCTCAGTGAGTGGTCAGCTACCATTCTCAGTTAATCCACTAACTTCAGTGGTAGAGATTTGTGTGGCTATTCTAAATCTCTTCAAGAAAAATTCACCTCTCAGTATAAGCTAACCAAGCCAGAAATAACAGGTAATAGACCTTTCCTCCTCCCTGCCCCCATTTGCCTTTCTTCTCCCTCCCCAAATCTAATTTTGTGTGTGTGTGTGTATACACATATATACATATATAAATACACACACATACACACACATATATATATATTAAAAAAATCACCATTTAAAGAGTAGGATTAAGAATACAAGTCAACTACCCAGTATTAATTAATAAATAACAGAATTGTTCTCAGAATAGCTTTCTAACAGATTTCACAGTTGAATACTGGAGACAAATGAAATTAGTTGACCATTATTCGTCCTGTGCATCAAAAGAAGCTGATGTCTCCCAGAAAATAATTTAAAATATAATATGTAGTCACATGCTTGAGAGTTTTAGTATGTATATTTTCTTAAGCCACTGCACACACACACTATTCCAGTTGTTTTAATTATTATCGTCTACCTTTTTCAAAACATCTGTGGAAGAAATCCTGAGATAAGAAAAGGAAATGGTGTGGTGAGCAGAGAATTAGAAACAGGCAAGTACTGGAGAGGGATTTTGAATGTACACTTTCGCCATTACTCACCCACACGCATACGTTTCTCTGAACCAAAGAATTCCAAACAGCTAGAATATATTATCATCAAAAAAACCTGTTTCTGTTTTACATGAATTCATAATGGTCTTTTCAAGCCTTAAAAACTACATTCATTTCAACATCTCTCCTGGAGAATACAGCCAAGGGATATGAAGTTTAGATAGGGCTGATAACATGTTACTAGGCAAAGAAAGTGACTTAATATGAAAAGCTCAATACTGTGTTTAGTATCAGATAACCCATACAATAACTTCCCTTAAACAAACAAAAAACACCTTACCTGGACACAAATTTGCTTACACCTGAATATTCCCCAGATTCCATTATAATGTTGAGATCAGTAATAACAGCAGACACGCTCTCTTTGTTCTAGATTAGAGAAATAACAATGCTTATCCAAGAAATTTCTTCAATAAAGAAAAAAATTAATAGCAGATAAGACATATATATGTAAATGCTGCTAACTGCAAAAATTCTTAAAATAGCATTTTTTGAAGTACAGTTTATCTAAACATTTTATTTCATTTTAACAATATCAGTATTATCAAGGGAATGAGGCTTTTGGAGAAATACCCGAACTGTTCTGCACAGAGAATACACATATATAAAGGAAGACTTATATAAGAGAGGATCATCATCTTCCTTCCATGTCACCTCTACTTCTTTAAGTTTCTCATCATTTTCCAACACAACTCCTAGCCATCATTTAAAGCAGAAAAGTCAAACGTAATAACGTTTCATCCAAAAAGCATAAGAATGTTATCGTAAGTTTAAAAAAAAAAATGCTAGTTTTCCTTTTATTTATGTTACAACTTCCAGTTGTATCTCAAATTCTTATCCTTTTTTACAATAATAATTACTACTCAAGGATATCTGCATGACATTACAAAGTTAATATGTTTTCAAATTACAGTATCTAATGAGCTATAAAAAACATTAACAAAAGGTGTTCAAATAGTAGAAATGAGACCACAAAATATTTATTTTTATTTCACATTTTTGAACACACTAGACCAACATGTTAAACAAAAGTGAATGAAAAGATTTAAAAACATAGCTTGAAGACCGCAGTGAATGCTTCATATTATACCGGAGACGTCGTACTTTGTTTTTCCTATATCCAGTCACTATGACCAAACCGGAATAGTAACACAGAGGAAACAAGCTTAATGGACAAGCTGGAGTCAAACCCAAGTATACCACAACAATCCGTAGTACCAGTTGGACAGTAGCACTGCTAACGTTGCCATAAGTAAAGATGGAAAAAATGAGCCAAGACGCTACAAAAATTTAGTGGACTGAGTAAGTAACATCAGGAAAAGTCATTTAAATTCAGAGCAAGAGACTCAACACGGGCATGGAGTTGTAAAGAAGCTGCTAGCAGTTACAAGCTAATAGGCTGCCTTTCAAGAAAACTAGCTTTTCACGAACTGATTCTAACATACGTCAAGACGCCATCTTGGGGTCAAATAAAAGTAAGATTTAGGAATTCAGGAGATTCAGAAGATTCAGGAAAGCTCCTGAAAAGAAAGCAACTTTTATTGAATGATTACTTTCTCAACAGTTTTAGACTTGTTTTGTCAGATTTTCAAGCTAATTGAACATGTCCTCTCCTAACAATAAGAGAAAAATTATACAGTGTTTTTATACTAAACTGCCTTCTTCATCCATGTTTTGACTTGTAAGCATCCTCCTCTGCACAAGTGTGAGCAGATGGGAGCTGCTTCTCACTCCAAGCTGCCAAAACAGTCAACTCTGGTATATAAACTATACGCTAGTCTTAAACTGTGCCAAAACTACAGAACCTACTAAGAAGCAATATTGGTCAGGTAGTGAGTGACCAGTAGCACAATAATAGATGTAATTTTGGGCGCTCAAAGCTAGTCAGAGTGAACTCAGATCTGGCTATCCTTTCTACAGTTATATCCTGGAAAACAGCTTTTAACATTAATGACATTTAACATTTTGTTCAAGACTAAATTAGAGACAGTTACAAGAACAATTTGTTACTGTAAAATTTTGTATTGTGTATCAACTGGTTTGATTATAGATGCTACGGAGCTGAATTAATTGTAAAATAATTTGACTACTGAATAAAAGTAAACAGATCAAGTTAATAGCATGAAAAAAAATCTTGTTTCTCTTCCATCTAACACCAATGCATTTGCTACATATTGAGCATTTCTCCAAAACAGCTGTCTGCTTCTATTTCTCAAGGTGGATTAAACCGGTTGCAACTTTACACTATCTTACCAATGCTGATCTCAACGCAGGGTATTTAATATACTGCTGTCAGCCTCATGCCTTCCAAAACAGGCATACATAATTCTCCATCTTTACAGGCAAGAAGCTTGAGGGATAAAAAATTTTTAGCTAAGTTTCCCAGTTTTAGTGTTCCGGCCTCAAGTCGCAACCTTGAGCGCTATGGAGGCAGACCTCTGCATCCACACAGAGGACCCATTGACTTCTGTGTAGGATGACATGCACAGCATATGAGGTCCGTAGCAAAACCAATGTAACTTGCCACTTCTTCTACAAAACAGAAATAGCCAGCTAGAACTAGGCAAAAATGTGTGAATGGAATTCATAACATTCTAGTTGAGAGACATATTTTTCCTTATGAAGAAATGAGACAGAACATTTTTTTTTAATTATACGAATTACAAGCCTGCAGGCCTTAAAAATACAACCCTTTAATTTTAGAACTATTAAATTCTTTCAAAAATCTATCTGCTTTAATTAGTTCTAAACAAAATGAAAGACAGAACTGCACGTTAATGAAATACAATTGGTTGAATTTTACAACTCTAATCAAACCATTTAAGTTATGATTTGTACAATAGCTGTAACAGTACCACTGCAAGTAAATGCAAAACTTTTGATATCATTCCAGTTCATATAAAATCACAGAAGCCATACAAAGAAACAGAAATAAATATTTAAAACAGTAAATATACTTCTCGACTTGGGTATGCAACATCAAAAATAAATAATAAAATTTGTCTCTTATGGCACAAATAAAAACTATACTCTGCATTAGTGTCTGCATAGCTAACTTACCAATTTTCAGAACATCTCCATGACCAATACGATAGAGATGAAAAAAATACCAGAGATTCAGAATTTATTAACTTGTGGCAAATTGATACCTTGTCTGTATTATGATTTAAATTGCACACTATGGGTACCACATATTTTTAACCAAATTCAGGTAAAAAATTAACTCAAAATTATTATTTTTCCACTGAAAGTTTTTGTTTGGTTGGTAATTTTCTTTTTTTAAATATCTGCTACTCTACATATCACCTACTCTCAAAGAAATAAACTGTGTCATCAGCACTGAAGCATTACAGTTTTAGGCATTAAGTAGATAAGTACTGCCATCTAATGGTACTGTGGATTTAAGGATCATGAATATTTCAAGATAATTTTAAGTATTTAAATAAACTTAGCATCAAATTATTCATCATCACTCCATTAAGTTAAGTGTATAGTGGTAAACTTCATCATTCTGCAGGAGCGTGCAAAGGATAAATAAGCAGTAATGCAACCAAGTCCCATGATTGATCCAAGCTATTTCCAGGCTCAAAGTTAAATGCAGTTTTACAAGCAAATCCTAAAATGATATCACCACGACTACAAATTTTAAGTCGTGCATGGGCTTCAGAGGTTGCAGAATAACTTCATTCCAGTGAGCTTTTGCAGTTAGGAATTATGCTGCCCAGAATTATACAGTCCATATGTGAACACCTAAATATTAATTTCCTAATTTCACAATGGCTTTCTTAAGATTAGGAAGAACACCTTCCCTTAGCCAGGTGGTTTTTAATAGCACCATTTCTAAAGGCTCTCCATTTACAACCTGCCTTTAAAGTTCAAAATCAAGTTTGCTTGAGAAGAAAATTCCCTGATGTCAAAACACTATAGTTTTGAGTAGCAGCTGTTTTCCACTGTTTATCATTTTAGATTCTATGCCAAGAATTCTGACAAAAGTGTTTCCTTGCAAAAAATATCTGCAATCACTAGTTTAAGGATGTAACAGTTACTCACACTAACCAAGTGAGATGATAACCAAAGTTTAAAAAAATAATTAAAAAAAAAACCCACAACACACATCAACAAAATAAAGCAGTTGTTCAGGTTTGTAATGTTTTAGTTTTTCCTAAGTTCCATTAGAACAGGTGGGTTTTGGAATTTTCCAGTGTCCAAAACAAAATACCTGACTATAGAAGAACGCAATAAGAATTTCATTACTGGATGTAGACCCTGGTGTCCAGAGCTATTTTGCTTGGGTGCACATCGAATCATGGAAAGCTGGAAGTTGGGTCTAGCTGCTATAAACAAACAGCCACCCACAAAGGCTTAGACATAGAAGACTCAGGCAACCAAAAAGATGAAATATTAAAGATCTCAAGTGAAGAAGTAAATATTAACACTTATCCACTTTAAGTTTTGTTTGCTTACTTCTTTCTTTAAACATACATTGATCATTACCTTTATTTCAAGAAGCTGAAACTCCAATTGAAAAGGCAGGGAGTGGCAATTTCCTGATAATCTGTGCCTCTGTATTGTTCTGCTCCCAGCTGTTATAAGCGAAAGTAAACAAAATGCTTGATTAATACTTGATTATTGCATTTCTTCTGTTACTCACAGTTAAAGTACCAACTGATATTGAGTATTATATAAACCACGAAGCTAAGCGAAACACATTAAGAAAAAAAGCTAATTTTGCGATAGTCTTTCGCTTTCTCGCTATGCAAAGCACTACATTTATCAGAAAGGTAATTACTTTGACATTCAATTCTTTTTCTGCTAATGTTGAAAGTGGAATTACAATATGTATCTGCAAATCTAAAACTGAAACAGAATGCAGGGTATAGCATCACTAAACAACAGACAAATGCTTACTTTTTTCCACGGTTTTCTTGGAATGACTTGTGAGCCAAATACCAGTAAACTTCATTAAAAAGGAGAGATCTGTTTCTAGACCTTCAAGTTGAGCTTTCAGGTCTGACGGAGACTCACGTCCCTTCGACTCGCCCTGAAATTCTCTTTGGAATGACTTGCTGTAATCAAAAACAAAAAAAATAAAAGGGCAAAAGACTGAGATATAAGAGCATGTTTTATCACGTCAGCACAGCAACATAGTAAAAATAAAAGGATTTTGGAATGTTGTGGTGTGACAGCTTTTAGACCAAGATCAGTTTTCAGTGAGTCACATATCAATTAGACCATATTACTGGGAACTATTCTAGGTATCTTAAGGATCACTGCCATGTAGACACAGCCTTTATTTTAAGTTATGAGATGCCCACATCCACTCAGAGGAACATTATTAAAAGTATCACAGCTCATTGTTATATCTAAATGACCTACATTATCTATAGAGAATATATTTCCTATGCAATATCACTTAAGTAACGTAAATAAAAAGCCCCAAAGCAGCACTTCCTTAGCTTACAGCTAGCAACTCGTCCCTCTAGCCTTTTTTTTTCCTCCTTTTTTTAAACAATAATGTGCATTGACCTGTTTCATGCTACCTCACGGAAAACATGGCCTTTGCAGCCAACAGCTTTGCAAGGTCCACACTGTAATGTATTGGATATTGTGCTTTGACCACTATGATTGCTTTAAAAAAAAAAAAAAAAGGCAGTAAAAAGAAATGAACTATTTACTTACTATTTATATTCCTTTAGCATATATAACCCTTGTCCTAAAGGAGTTCTGCATTATACTAGGCACTGTAAAAATAACATAGGGAAAGTCCTAATGCCACAAAATAGAGGCAGAAGCTTCATCTGAATAACTTGGGTAAAGAAACATTAATATTAATCCAACATGTTAAAAATTCATACATTGACATTAGTATCTCCTCATCAGAAAAAAATGTGGATTCCTGTTGGCCATCTTCATACTTTTCAGTCAAAATTTTAATTTCTTCTTCCAACGACTGAATTTCATCTTCATAAACTTGATAAATGCTGTTCTCCATTTCTCAGAATCAATGTTACTAGATAAAACAAAATAAGTATACTACTTAGATTAAAAAAAAATCAAAAAACTATTATTTTTATCCAATGAATTAATTTTAAAAAGGCAAATATAACATTAGGAAACTGTTTATCTTCCCCCTCTACTTAAAATGAGAGGATTCACTTATATCTTATGATTTTTGAAAACTGAAAAAGTGATAGATACAGTTGTTAAATATTCCTAGCGACTGATAAATGCAGTAATTAACAACATCTTAAAGAATTCTATGAAGAGAGCCACAAGGTCCTATTTGCTATGGAAGATTAAACGAATGTATAAACCTTGATCCTCAGCAACTAAAATCCACAGAAATTGTCATCGATCTGAAAACAAGATTAGGGCAAGAGGCAAGCAATTGATGCTATAGTACTTTTTCTTCCATATAATTCCTACTAAAACCATGGAAAAGTCCATTTATAAAGGCAATGGTCTGCAAGCAAATATAACAAGGGCAGAAAGGCTGCTTTTTCCATGCAATATAATTCTGCCTGAAATTAGGTTTCCTAAATAACATGATAACTCATTCTGCTAAAAGCATTATAAATAGGAAAGATTCTACTTCCAGTGACAGCCATAAGAAGCTACTAGATATTAGCAAAAGACTGAGGAAGAACAAGTTTCTGAGCACCGACTTTACGTAACAGAAAAATACAAAGAAAAAAAAAAGTAGAATTTTCTCCAAAACAGGTAGCAGATTGGAAAAAAGGTGGGTTTTATTGCGTTAGTTGCTGAAAGACTTAAATGAATCTAAATTTAGTAAACAGACTAATTTTAAGACACAAATAACTACATAACCTCCAAATGCAAAAAAATAAATCAGGGATTGAGTGCAAGTCAAAGTCATTTTTAGTCGGTTCTTTGCATCAGAACAGCATCAGAACAGCATCTGAAAATACGGATTATGTTTTACACACAAAAACAATACTCAAAACATATTTAGCATTAAAAGCTTATTTAGCAACAAAGAAAACATTAAATGCCATCAAAGAACCAGTGACTGTGCCCTGTCACGAACTTTCTCTGAAATTTTAAAACACATGTATGCCACGTGTGACAACAAACAAGACTAGCAGGGACAAGAAATATAAGTTTTTAATACATTCTCCTAGTTTTATTTATCTGAGAATATATTGAAGAAAGTTTTAACTGCATTCTGGAGTAACTGGAGAAAAGAAATTGCCAAGACTCTGAAGCAGGTTGTCGGCTAATCCCTCTCAGCGGTTAGCTCTTTTGAAAACGGTAATAGAGCACAGGCACCACTTACAACCACTTTAACTTAAGTAATTTTACCAGATCGTAGAAGATTCAAAGACCACCTCTAGTTTCAAACAGGATATCCCCAGAAGAAAAGAAATCTACTTTTAATTGAATAGGTAAAATAGAAAATTAATTTTCTACTCACACTAAACGTGCGCGCACACACACACACACGTGTTTGTGCTTCAACGCTACAGGTCAGAAACTTCCACGCACCTTCCCGTATACACCTGCGCACCTCCCGTATACGCTGCCTCCTCGCCAAGAAAAGCTGGGAAAAGCGGTCAAGAATTTGTGGGAAACGAACTGGTGGGTTTTTTTCGCCTTTGCCTACTTGGCGTCTAGCCTTAAAATCCTTAGCAGGAGGCAGCCGGAAAACCGCTCCAGACAGGCCGCGGCTCGCAGGTGCCGC